AACCTTTACCTTTTCTCTCTGCTGCCATGTCTCCTCCCCTTGTTCCATCAGCTCTCCTGGTGCCTGCTGCCTCCCAACTCCTCACCCTCCTCTGCTGTCCTGACTCCTGCCCTTCTCACTGCCCTCAGCTCTCCTGCAACCTGCTGCCCTACACCAGCCCTTCTCTCTCTCTTGTGCCCACACCTCCAGTAGCCCCACTCTGATCATATGAGCCACCCCTTCTCATCCCCTCTTCTAACACTTCCCTCTACACACCTGCCCTGCGTCTCCCCTCCCCTGCAGGTGTCTGCCCTTCTGCTTCACCCCCAGAATCCCTTGGCACTTGCACCTTCTCTTACTCCTGCACCCACTGGGAGGGGATCATTACCCTGATGTGAGGGGGGAGGGCTGACACTGGGAAGGAAGGTTCTGTCACCTAGCACCTGAAGGCTTATGGTCATCACCAGAGCAATTGTCTGACCCACAGCAGAGCTGAGCAATGCAAGGAACAGATCCATGTTTCATAGGTGGTTTGTGATGTCCCCATGCCACAGAGCAGGGTTACGAGTTTTCTTTTAACCTTTCTCATTTTCCCTTAATTTGTTTTAAAAATGGCATTTGCTTTGAGCTGTATGCAGCCACAGAATCACAGAACTGCTCTCATGACAGGACCAAGCACCATCTACACCATCCCTGATATGTGATTATCTAATCTCCTCTTAAAAATCTCCAGTGATGGTGTCAGGGCTGTTCCCTCCTCTCACACTTTGAGTGCAGAAGATGAGGGCCCGCAAGATATAAAATATCTTCCCTCTATAGGCTTCTGCTTAAAAGCTCCCCAAAGCCACAGATTCCCTGGCCTTGGGAGATAGGCTGCCACCACCAAGTGAAAATCCCTTTTTTCTTGAACCCAGGATGAAGCATTTGGAACTTCTTCCAGAGGGGTACCCCACACTCTTCTACCACAAGAGACCTTGGGGGGCAGGAAAAAAAAGGAATCCTGTAATTTCTGCTAGATGAACTTTCAGTCTTAGGCATGGATATACAGACCTATTACCGTCCAGGAAACAAGAATCAAATCTTTGCCTTAAAAAAGGTGATTTTATTAACAAAACAAAATGATATACTTGATAAAGCATACTTGATTGCTAGATGTTTTAACGCAACTGAGAAAAGAACAAATTAAAAACAGAAATTCATTCCTGGGATTCAGCTTAAGGTTACAGTCTGTGGGTAGGTCTACACTACCCCCCTAGTTTGAACTAGGGGGGTAGTGTAGACATACCCTGTGTGTGTTTCGGGGAAAGACATGGACTTAGCACACAGAAGTTTAACTATACAACAAAACAAAGAAAATAACCTGATCACATTTCCTATCTACTCACATGCCCATGCTCCAAAGTCCAGTCTATTTCCATGCCCCATATTCTTTGGCAATTTTGCCTGGTTCAATTTACTTTGTTCCCCCAGCTCCTGGCTTAAAACGCACACAAAGTAAAACAGCAAGCAGGTATCTCTTCCAATTCAAATGTCAATATTTTCTTTTTATTGGTTCTTCAGGCTTCCTGTCAACACTTTCTAGTTTAACCCTTTGGTTACAGAATGCTGGGATGTTGAGAAAAGGCTAGCACTCCTCTCTATCACACACCTCTCAAATCACAAATAGTGCTGGACTGGTTGGTCCATGTTGGCTGTGATTTCTTTTCTGGAGGTTTAGGAGAAAACAAAATGTTTTCACACACTAAATTCACACACTAAATTCACTAGTGAATACACAAAGAATGAAACAAGATCCCCTGCATGCATGAAATACAGTGACTTAAAAGGAGAGTTTTAACTGGCTTAGGCTGGAAAACTTTCATAGGAGAGTGCATCAACCACTTTGTTAGAAGCTCCTGAGATTTGTATGTCAAAGTCAAGGTCTTGGAGAGCCAAACTCCACTAAAGGAGTTTCTTGTTAGTCTGTTTGAGTGTGTGAAGCCACTTCAGAGCAGAATGGTCAGTCTGCAGATGAAAGTGTCATCCCCAAATATATGATCATAGCTTCTCTAATTGCATATACAATAGTGTAGCCTTCCTTCTCGGAGACAGACAAGTGGCTTACCCTCTCGGAGAGTTTTTTAATGAAAAACAAAATAGGGTGGAATTGATCTGGACCTGCTTGCATCAAAACTGCCCGCATACTACGTACTGACACATCCATAGTGACAAAGAAAGGTTTGTCATAGTCTGGGGCCTATAGGACAGCATCAGACATAATAGCAGTCTTAAGCTACTTGAAAGCTTCCTGACACTTCCTAGTCCACTTTATTGCATTTGGTTGCTTTTTTTCTGGTCAGGTCTGTCAGTGGATCTACTGCTGCTGTTATAGATACCAGTCTGGGATCTGGCTCTACCATCTCCATCTCTGTTTCTGGCTCTGGGGTATTAGGAGATATAGATTGGACCCCTGTAAATGGTTCAAGGATGGGGCTAGGCCTGGAGGCCTGCTTAACTCTGCTGCGGGTAACCACTGTCACCTTCTAAGCTTGTCTCAGATAGTTAGCTAAGTGCTCTCCCACCAGCATAGGAAAGGGATAATCCAAGTTCCTGACAGCCCTTGTATGTAACAGGCAACGTGGATGTAGGCAGGTCAAAAGAGTCTGGATTCAAAAGTTGAACAATTACTTTAGACTCTGGGTTGATGAGTTCAGGGTCCATTAGGGACTGGTGGATTGCAGACACCTGTGCTCCAGTGTCTCTCCAGGCAATAACCTTCTTCTCACTCACACTCAGTTTCCCTTTGCTCTGAGGGTATCCAGGAGACATCTGGGCTTGAGGCCTCTTGGTTTGACCCCAGTGCAATGAATTGCACTTTGGTGGTGCTCTTGGGGCAGTCAGCTTTCATGTGCCTCAACTCATTATGTTTAAAATATCGCCCAGCTGGCTTGTCACTGGAGCAAGGTGGATTGCTAGAGAATGAGGTTGTGTGATGAGAGAGTGGCTGTTGCCTCCCTTGGCTTGTCCCTGGTGGTGGTTCTCCATGGGTGCCCCTTCTGGTACACCCTCAAATGCTTGTCAGGATTCTTTTCCCTCCATCACCATCAGTCACCTGGCTCTGGTTCTTCCCACCTTTGTTATGGTGTTGGGCTTCCCATCTTGGATGTATCTTTGGAGATCTTTAGGAAGACCCTCCAGGAACTGTTCCATTTTCATCAGGAGAGTTGTCTCTTCCATAGTCTTAATATTTGCTCCTGATATCTATGTGTCCCAGTGATTTAAAAATCTGATAAGCATGTTAGGGTAATGCCACATCTGGTTTCCCTTTTAGGGCTCTGAAATCATAGAATCATAGAACTGGAAGAGACCTCAGAAGGTCATCAAGTCTAGCCCCCTGCTCTAGGCAGGACCAAATGGTGATGGGCATGTTCAATGATGAGCCCCATCCTAATTGTGGCCTCTTACTTAAAAAGTTCGTAATTATTCATGTTTTCCCCAGGCATTTCAGCTGCCATGTCTGCTAAGGGTCAACTGAATTGTGGCCTGAGCTCCATCATGTACTCGACTTTGGGGAGTTGTACCCCAGGCAGGCCCTTTGAAAATTCACTAAGAAGGCCTTTATATTATCTCCTGCCTGGTATAATAGGTACTTCTTGGGTTGGGGAGAATTAATTGGAGGGGTAATCAGTGTAGTTGGAGTGTCAGGCTTCTAGGTAGGGGTGTTAACTGGTTAACCAGGCCTTGCCAATTAATACCAGTGGCAAGGGCCAGGGAAGCCACAGCCACAGCGGGGCCAGGCAGCAAGACCCTGACCACTGATGGACCCCACAGCCATGGGTGGGGCTAGACAGCAGGACTTGAGTTGAAACAGTTAACTGATTTGAATGCTACTGTTTAACCAGGTAGCTGTTTCAACATCCTTACTTCTCAGCTTGCCCTTAGTTAGAGATCTGCCTGTTTTAAGGACACTCTCCCATCCTGAGGACAATGGCATATGGGGGAGGGGCATGAACACACCCCTCTGCTTGTGCCCTGACAAGGTTACATTTTGGGCACTTTTGCCTTTTTTTCCCCTGAGTCAGTAAAGAGAATTAACCTTATTTCCCAGCTTTCAGTATCCAGCAGCTTATAAGTTCATAAAATGCCAAATATTGCCAGACTCATGCCAAGATCAGGAGAGCTGGTGATACTTGTGATATGTATTTCACACCTAGACGCACTTAATGGCAACTGCAGAATGAGCTTTAGAGAGTCAATGGTGAGGGATGATGCACTCATTTTTTTATGCTTTACAGATTACTACACTTTGGTTTAGACGGGGAGGAAAGTGAAGAGTTTAGGATGAAGAGGACCCTGTCCAGAAGTATGGGCAAAGAGGGCACAATGCAGGATTGGAGATAAAGGGTGCACAGGATGAGGTTACGGGGTAGGGGAGCCCATAGATGCAGGAATGGTGGGAGCAAGGCTTGGTGGGAGTGAGACTGGGTGCCAAACCAGCTAGTTTTAAGAGAGAGAGCGAGAGTGTGTGTATAAAAAAATACGTGTGTGAGATCCAAACAAGCACACATGATATCAATACTGGTGCATGAGACAAAATTCTTAGCGGGAACACTGGTAAAGGGTTCCAGCTGGGGGTGTGATTTCAAAGATGGAGGGGATAGACATGTAGACCACTGAAAGGCTACATCCCAGAGAGATTTCCGCAAGCTCTCTCCCCCAGCTCAGATGCTATTGTGAAAGGGGATGGGGAAGAGACTAGGAGTGTAATAGTATAGTCGATTAACCAATAAGCAAAAGCTTATAGGTTAATTCTACAGACCATATGCATTTACTCCCTGCTCCTTGCCAGCAAATTTTTTTAGCAGGCTGGCCAGCAGCCCAGCTCACTCCTGGCTTGAACTGAGTCTGGGACCTACCCCTGCTGCAGCTCTGAATTTAAAGGGTATTAGGAGTTAGGCGGATAGGCAGCCCAGCTCAGTTCTGGCTTGCGCTGTCTGGGAGCTCAGACACCCCCACCCCCCCCCCCCCCCGCACCGGGTAGCAGTGCAGGGTGGTAGGGAGTTGGTCCACGAGTTTTTAAACTGGCTCCCCCTCATGAACCAGCTCTAACCTGGCATCCCGACTGCTGTCTCTGATACAGAGTCAGCAGTATGAGGTGGCAAGAGGCTCCCTGGGAGTGGGGCCAGAGTATGCTAGCTGCCAGCCCCACAGATGGGGACTAGACTAGTTGACTAATGGATAACAATTCATGAGGTTAATCAACTATTCAATTAACCAATATTTAACATCCCTAAAAGAGACACCGCTCCTTGCCATGGCAGCTTTGGGGCTGAGGGATAGGCCTCTGGCCACAGCAGGTCTCAGCCAGGGTTGAGATATTTCCCCCCTCCTCAAGCCCTATGAGCTCACATGGCCTTGAATAGGCTGTGGCATGACCACACAGCTTAAAAGGAACTCAGGTTATAGGGTTTCTCCTCTGTGGGTTCTCCAATCTCTAACAAGATTTCAGCTCTAACTGAAGTTTTTCCTACAGTCAGAGCAGCTGAATAGTTTCTCTCTTCTGTGGATTCTTTTATGTTTAACAAAGTTGCACTGGTTTATGAAGCCTTTTCTGCAATCAGAGCTGTTATGGGGTAGCTATTTTCTATGTATTACCTGATGGTTAGTAAGGCAGAAGCACTGACTGCAGCTTTTCCCGCAGTGAGAGCAGATGAAGGGTTTCTCTCCTGTGTGGGTTCTCCTATGGGTAACAAGGTATGAGTTGCAACTGTAGCTTTTTCCACAGTCAGAGCAGCTGAAAGGTTTCTCCCCTGTGTGGGTTCTCCAATGGATAACAAGGTTTGAACTCTTACTGAAACTTTTCCCACACTCAGAGCAGGTGAAGGGTTTCTCCCCTGTGTGGGTTCTCCTATGGTTAAGTAAATGTGATCTCTGATGGAAGCTTTTCCCACAGTCAGAGCAGCTGAAGGGTTTCTCCCCCGTGTGAGTTCTCCTATGGGTAACAAGTTGTGATCTTTGATAGAAGCTTTTCCCACAGTCAGAGCAGTTGAAGGGTTTCTCCCCTGTGTGAGTTCTCTTATGGGTAACAAGATCTGAGCTCCCTCTGAAGCTTTTCCCACAGTCGGAGCAGCTGAAGGGTTTCTCCCCTGTGTGGGTTCTCCAATGGATAAGAAGGTATGAGTTGCAACTGTAGTTCTTCCCACAGATATAGCAGTTGAAAGGCTTCTCTCCAGTGTGCGTCCTCCTGTGTTTCACAAGGTTTGAACTCTTACTGAAGGTTTTCCCACACACAGAGCAGGTAAAGGGTTTCTCCCCTGTGTGCGTTCTCCTATGGGTAACAAGGGCTGAACTCTCCCTGAAGCTTTTCCCGCAATCAGAGCAGCTAAAAGGTTTCTCTCCTGTGTGAGTTCTCCTATGAATAACAAGGTGTGAGCTACAACTGTAGCTTTTCCCACAGTCATAGCAGTTGAAAGGTTTCTCTCCGGTGTGCGTCCTCCTGTGTTTCACAAGGTTTGAACTCTTACTGAAGGTTTTCCCACACACAGAGCAGGTAAAGGGTTTCTCCCCTGTGTGGGTTCTCCAATGGGTAACAAGGGCTGAGCTCTCCCTGAAGCTTTTCCCGCAGTTGAAGCAGCTGAAGGGTTTCTCTCCTGTGGTAACAAGGTGTGAGCTACAACTGTAGCTTTTCCCACAGTCAGAGCAGGTGAAGGGTTTCTCCCCTGTGTGGGTTCTCCAATGGGTAACAAGGGCTGAGCTCTCCCTGAAGCTTTTCCCGCAGTTGAAGCAGCTGAAGGGTTTCTCTCCTGTGTGGGTTCTCCTGTGTCTAACAAGGTGTGAGCTGCAACTGTAGCTTTTCCCACAGTCAGAACAGGTGAAGGGTTTCTCCCCTGTGTGGGTTCTCTTATGTCTAACAAGGGCTGAACTCTTACTGAAGCTTTTCCCACAGTCAGAGCATTTGAAGGGCTTCTCTCCTGTGTGGGTTCTTTCATGTTCAATAAGAGTTGCACAGTCACTGCAAGTGCAGGGTGACTGTTGATGGGAGATTTTCCGTTGAACGATTTTGTTTCTTTTCTTCCCTATGCTTCTATGACTGGATTTACCCTGTCCTTCTCCTGGATGGTTTCCCTGCTGCATTTCTGGGCTATGCTGACTCTCACAGGTCTCTCCCTGCTCAAGACTCTGCAAAACATGGCCTTTAGATCTTCCTAATAACATCCCACTTGGAGCCATTCGCTCTCTGCTGAAAATTCTGCTCCACATTCTCATTCACCATCCCATCACCTGCTGGGATAGAGAAAGAATCCAGACAGGAGTTATTCTCTATGATGAACTGAAAGGAAAACTTTGAAAGAGGAACAGAAAAAGGAAACACACTCAAATAATGGTTGAATAATCATGAGCTGAGTTCATCATCCTTCTTCACAACCCTTCCACATAGGAAAGAATCCAGCCTTCCCCCACCCACAATGCTCTGACTGGAGTTGAAGACACACTGAACGGTCACAGTTAGACTTGATGAAAATGAGAGAGTTACTCACCTTGTGCAGTTTTCGAAGGTAACAATTCAGACCACGAAGACCGAGGATGGGCCTCCAACTGCCTGTTTTCTTTTGCATTAGGAAGTACTGCAAATAAAACCCTCTTCTTCTGATCTCATTTGGGACCCTCTATATTGCCCCAATAGCAAGTAGGCGGTAGACTTCTTGCTGTAGGAGCGTGTCATGAGATTGGTCCCTGAAGAGAGACGGGGTTGATGATGTGGTGGTAGGAAGGGAAATGAAGGGGATGGTGAAACCTTTCCTTACAATCTCCAATACCCATTTGTTGGATGTTATTTCAGTCCATTGGTGGTAATAGGGCCGTAGAGGATGGTGAAAAATGGGTTTGGTGGCAACAGTGTTTACGATTGGTATGTGCATGCCCTCGACAAAGAAATCAAACTTGCTGCTTACATGTTGATGAATTAGTTGGATGAGGTGGCTGGGGGCATCTGCGCTGCGGCCTCTGTTTGGGGTGCGTGCACCTGATCAAAAGGATGGTTCTGCTGCCTATTAAACTGGAAATCATATCGTTGTTGATATGTAAAATATTTTCTGCGTCGGAATGGGGGAACATACATCCCGAGTGTGCGTAATGTTGTTTGCGAGTCTTTGCCTGTGTGGGGGACCTCATATATTTTCTCTGCAAACAACTTGAGCTTATCAAAGGGGAGATCTTCCACTTTGGCCTGTAGATCCCTAGGTGTCCCTGCTGGTGCTAGCCATGAAACCCTTCTCATAGACACAGCAGTTGCTACAGAGCGGGCCACAATATCTGCAACGTCCATAGCAATCAGAAGGCCCGCCCTTGAGCACATGTAACCTTCCTGTATGATTGCTTGTAATGATGTTTTTGTCGGTTTCAGAAACGCTGTGTGCCATGTCTGTCGTTGGACAACAGTGCTGCATAGTTCGCAATGCGGAGGAGCAGTGTGGAAGATGAATAGACTTTTCTGCCAAAGATGTCAAGCTTCTTGGCATCCTTATCTACTCCCATGCTTTTCACCTATGGGTTCTTAGCTCTTTGCAGGGCTGCATCCACTACCAGTGAGTTTGGCTGGGGGTGGCTGAAGAGGAATTCTGATCCCTTCGATGGAACGAAGTACCTCTTTTCTACTCTTTTAGATGTTGGTGTGGTCGAAACTGGAGTATGCCAAATCTCTGAGGCTGACTCCAGAATTGCTTTGTCAATAAGCAAAGTGACTCTGGACTGTTGCCTAGGGTGGAAATTCTTTAACAGCTTGTATGGCTTAGTTTGGATTGCTGACAACTGAACGTCCGGTGATTCTGCAACCCTTTTAAACAGGTCTTGGAACTCGTGCATATCATCGGGGGGTGAGGTGTCCCCTATGAAGACGGCCTCATCGGGGGATGATGAAGAAAGGTCAGCCAGTGGAAGATCTTGTGGCTGCTCCTCAGTGTCCGTAATCCATCCCTCTTCTGGCTCAGATAATTGTGGTGGGAGCGATGGGATGTTAGGAGTTGGTCCCGGAGAAGGGGCCCTCTGCTGTGAATAGACAGGTGATGAGTGCTGTCTGCTAGAGGATAAGTGGCAGCAGCACAAATGAGAACATGAGCGTGATGTGCCATGGCTATAGGGAGTGCAGTAAGACCCATAACAGGTAATCGGAATACCCCGGTGATGATCTTCTAGAGGAATAAGAACTGTCGTGTCTGCTCCGATAGGATCTAGGCAGGGAGCATGTGGGAGACTGAGACCTATGAGGTAAGGTCTGGTGGTGAGGTGGACCATGTCTGTAGACATGAGTATGATGGGATCTCGAGTACCATCTTGGTGATGGAGGACTGTGCCGGTACCGAAGCTCAATCCCGGATTGAGATCTGCCGTGCGGCAAGTAATGGAGGAGAGGTGATGGAGAGGGTGCTGGTGAAAATACTGGCGATGGAGACAGCGAAGATATTCTCAGTGCTGATTTCCTAGCCACTTTTGTGGGGACTGAAGTAACGTTATGAGTAGCCTCAGCAGGAGGATGGTCATTATCATCTGTCACTAGTATTGGTGAATGTGAAGTGGATGAAGGAGGAGAACCCAGGGCCAGAGCCGGTACGGACACTGATGAAACGTGGCGGTCCTGCCATGGTGCCAAGGGCGGTGCCGTCTCTCGGGTCTTGTGAGGTGCCGGCTCCGGAGTTCTCCCAAGATGATCTCCAGGGTCCTGCATCGTTGTTGCCCCATGTCGATCTTTCGGTGCCGCCGGCGCCGCCTTAAGGGGGCTCGGTGCCAGTTGACTCGGGCTTCTTGGTGACATATTCGGTGCCGAGTTGTGTGATTCCTGCAGCTCCAAGAGCGGTGCCGTATCAGATGATGTGGAGAAAGTGTTTGCAAGCATTGAATACTGCTTGTAACTCAAGGAAACGTATGCGTTGCAAGGATCTTAATGGTGCCGTCTGCGGTGCCGATCGCTCCCATTCTGAGGATGCCGCCATTTTGTGCCCCGCCTTCGATGCGGATGACAGTGCCAGAACTGACGCTGAGCATACTAGTGGTGCAGGTGCTCCGGGGCTAGCCCATGCCCCGTCCCTAGGTGGGTGCCCAATAGTCCCCGAAGTGTTTGGCCGTTTGTCTCAGCTCAGCCTGGACCGTGGAATGGTGGATAAGGAATGGATAGGGGAAGCTTTTTTCTTTTTTGAGGCCAGCACCCCAGGAGATGACGCTCTACTTTTCTGTACTGGAGCTGGATCCTAAGGGGCTGCATCTGAAGCCTTATCAAAGAGTATTAATTTCAATCGCATGTCCCTGTTTCTGCACGCTCTGGCTGTTAACTTTGAACAATGTATGCACTTCTGTGGGACATGCGATTTCCCCAGGCAGCGAATACATGCGGCATGGCTGTCAGACGCCAGCATAGCATCTTTGCACTGGGAGCATTTCTTAAATCCTGGTGATTTGGGCATATTGGGTCCTAGGAAATGTCTTACAGAAAAAAACAACTATAACTGAATGAACAGTAAACAACTAACTACCTACCTAAACCGTAGGAGAATTTTTTTTCCAACTAACTACCTAAGAAATTATTATGCTGAAAACTAATTTTTAAAACTTTTCTTTATGGAGCAGCCATCTCTGTGAAGAGAAGGAACGGAGCTCTGCCAGCAACTGAGAACAGTTGAGAGGAACTGGAAAGGGGCCGGACTGCGCGACGTTAGAAAGGGCGCGAACAACACGTGATTGGAACTGCGCATGTGCGGCCCGGCCAACCATGGCTACTGAAAAGCCTCCGACCAGCGGTGCTGGGATGGACCCGTCACCTTGAGTGGAGCACCCACGGGGACCACTTGAAGAAGAACAGATTAACTCATGCTCTTGGAGCCAGCAAGGAGCCATGCAGTCAGGTGCATGCGCTCGATGTGCAGGTGGATCATTGTACCTCATTGTTGAGACAGTAAATTGAACAGCCTCAGTAGTCGTCGTGGCTGGGCCACTGACATTTTCGACAACTGTGTTAGCCACATTTGCTGGGGCCAAAAGGGTGCTATCAAAATTACTGTTTCCCCCTCCAATGTTATTTTCTCCAGCACCTTTGGAATGAGCAGGAGAGGAGGAAAGGCGTAGAGCAGTTGGTGATGATTCCAGTTGAGGAGGAAGGCATCCCCCAAGGAATTCATGCTGATGCCCACCCGTAGGCAATACTGATGGCACTTCCTGTTGTGACGGGTGTCAAAAAGGTCTATAACAGGAAAGCCCCAGAGATAGAATAGGTAGTGAACGACTTTGTTGTGCAACTCCCATTCATGTTGAGGAAGAAAGTGCCTGCTGAGGGTATCAGCAATAACAATGTCCTTGCTGGGAAGGTACAATGCGGTCAGGGTAATACCCTGCTGATTCGCCCAGTTCCACAAACGCTTCTGCACAGAGGAAGCGTGAACGTGCGCCTTCTTGCCTAAACACCGTGCATATGTTGTCCGTGAGAATCTGGATCATAAGGCCTCGGATGATGTGGAGAAAGTGTTTGCAAGCATTGAATACTGCTCGTAACTCAAGGAAACCTATGTGTTGCAAGGATTCTTGGGGCGTCGAGAGACCCTGAACTTGATGCTGCTGCAAATGGGCTCCCCAGCTGAGTAGGAACTGTCCTGTTTGTGCAATGTGTACTGGGCTTGTAAACAGTGAACAGCCAATGTTGAAGGCTGCACAGGTGGAGTCTCGCATGCCGGACCACACATGTGGTGGCTGTCATATGGCTCAGCAGCTGTAGACAGGTAAGTATGTGGGATCTGGGAGAAATTGAAAGAGTATGTACCAAACCCTGGATTAGTTGGAACCTCTTCATGAGTAAGTAGGCCCTTGTGGTCAGAGAATCGAGTCTTGTGCCACTGAATTCTAGATCGTAAGTCAGTGTCAAGGAGAACTTCTCAATGTTGATTATTAGCCCGGGAGTCTCGAACACCGGCACAGTAGTAGTAACTGCCCATGTAGCTTTATCTAGCGCGGGGGCCTTTATTACGCAATCGTCCAAATATGGAAAGATCATGATGTCGAGGTGACGAAGGTAAGCCACAACCACTGCCAGGGTGTTGAAAAAAACTCGTGGTGCTGCTGAAAGTCCGAAAGGTAACACTCGGTAATGGTAATTGGCTCCTACTACGAACCAAAGGAACTGCCTGTGGGCAGGATGTATTGTTGTATGAAAATAGGCGTCCTGGAGATCGAGGGACACAAACCAATCCCCTTTGTCAAGTGATGGGATGATAGAGGCTAACATGACCATCTTGAACTATTGTTTCCACAGGTGATGGTTGAGCCGTCGTAGGTCCAGGATAGGCCTTCAACTCCCTGTTTTCTTCTAGGTGAGGAAGTAACAAGAGTAAAAACCTCTCTCATGAAACTGAGTTGGCAACTTCTCCACTGCTCCTATGGTAAGCAAACAAGAGACCTCTTGTTGTAGAAGAGCCTCGTGAGAAGGGTCCTATAAAAAGGGACAGGGAAGGGAGGGGAGGGAGGAGGAATGGAATTGAAAGGGATGACGTATCCTGAAGCAACTATGTAGTGGACCCAACTGTCGGTGGTTATAGGAGACCAACCGAGTTGATAAGGTCTCAGGCGATGATGGAATAAACCTTGCATGTTGTCTGGAGCCTCCATCGAAGGGGTGGTACACAATCCCTCGATCAGCATGTCAAACCTGCTGTCGACCTTGCTGGTGGACGGGCGCTCTGTTAGGTTGTTGTCATTGCTTTTGCGGCCACTGTCTCGGCCTCTGTTGTTCATATGGTCTGGCTCAAGGTATTGCATAAGAGAAGGGCCTCTGTTTGCTATACGGCATGTATTTCTTGTGTCTACAGGGAGGTGTGTACGTCACTAGTGTTCACAAAGTCATGCTGGAATCCTTGCCTGGGTGGAATACCTGATCAGTTGACTGAGCAAAGAGTGACTGGTGATCTTCTACCTTGGTAAGGTAGGTCTTCTACCTTGTTTAGTAGATCTTTTGGGGCAGCAGCTTGATGTAACCAGGAAGCGTGATGCATGACTATGACAATAGCTGTGGCACACGCCGCTGAGTTGGCAGTGTCAAGAGCGATCTGCAATGCTGTTCGGGCTGTTGTGTATTACCACCTTTAGAAATTGACGCTTTGAGTCCGGTAAGTGTTCTAAAAGGAGAACTAATTTTGAATAATTGTCAAAATCGTGATTTGCAAGGGGAGCTGCATAATTACACATTCTCAGCACTGAAGTGGCGGAAGAGTACACTTTCCTGCCCAAGAGGTCAAGGTGTTTGGCCTCCTTGTCATTTGCGATATTTTTAGCCTGTGCTGTCTTGGACCTTTGTTGTGCGACATCCATGACAAGGGAATTGGGCTGGGGGTGAGCAAATAAGAACTCCATACCTTTCTGGCTTATGAAATATTTCTTATCCGATCGTTTACTGGTCAGCAAGGATGTAGCTAGAGTTTGCCAGATGTCGTTGGCAATTTCCAAAATGGCATCATCAAAGGGATGTGCCAACTTTGATTTCTAGGAAGGTTGCAAGTTCTTAAGTAAAGGAAGCCATTTTTGTTGAACATCCGTAGTTTGAATGTTCTGAGATTGAGCAATCCTCTTAAAGAGTTCTTGAAATTGCTTGTGGTCTTCAGTTGGAGATAAATTTCCAGGGAAAACTGCATCGTCTGGCAACAAAGATGAGTGGTGGGCAGGTGAATTAGGGCTCTGAGGTTCCTAATTTGGAGTGTGGTTGTCTTGCTCTTCTTCATGAGTTTGGATCGAGGCAGTGTCCTCTGCAGGAATTGGTGGAACTGTTAGAGGGTGGGATTCTAATGATGTAAGACGTAGAGACACCGGTCTACTGGGGCACGGGGATCGTGAATGCGGGTACCTCCTGTCAGATGAGGAATGACTTTCATGGTAGTAACGGTCATAATACCATGTGTGAGGATATGAGCCCGGTGAGCATCTCGGAGAATACTCCTCTTGTGTTCCATACCGATGTGAATATCCTGAGGGTCTTGAAGACCTTGGTGAAATAGACCTCATGGAATAGCGGGAGGGAGACCGAGAGTAATGCGCTTGATAATATCTTCGTGGTGGTGAGTGATGAGGAGACCTGTAGTAATGGTCCCTTGTTGATCTATAATGAGGAATGCAGTGATGGCTGCCAGTGTATGATGAGGTAGGTGACAAAGGTCCAGGAGAAAAAACAGCACAGTCTGGAGTGAGCGATGGTGTTCAGACCCGTCTTGACTTGTGTTGTGCCTTGGTCTGCATGGAGCAGTTGAGAGGGGAAGAAGGTGCTGTCTGCAGTGAGGTGAGTGGTAAAGAAACAGTCTCCATAGGCTAGCTGTAGCTCAGTTGAAGTAGGTGCCACAGGAGTAGTTAGTTGAGGGACCGGAGGAGGCAGTGTCGGTACTGAGGGCTGTGGCATTATGGTGCCTGCCTGTGGTGCCAATGCCAGTGTCGGCACCTCCAGCACTGAGGAAAGCGGAAGTACAGTTGCAGGCACCGCTGCTGTGGGTGCCGGCACAACTGCGCTCATCTGCGCATGTGCTGGATAAGCCAGTGCCAGGGCAGCCATTGCCATCTTCAAACTGGCTGGTGCTGAGTCAGCTCACGGCCCTTTCACAGGTGCCGATACCAGGTTTTTGATGCGGGCAGAGTTTGGGGCTGATGAGCTGCGGCCCTTGCCCATCCTGTCAATGGGATGCGTCGGCAGAACGCCAGAAGTGCCCAGTCTGTCTCCGACACTCCCCCTCTCAAAGGGGTTAAAGGTCCTGGGCGGAGACTGTCCTGAGGCAGTGGAAGACGGCTCAGTCCTTTTAGAGATCTGAAGGGCTTTGTTAAATAAAAGCACCCTCAGCCTCAGCTCCCGGTCCCGCCTGGTATGGGCGGTCAACTTAGTGCAGTGACTGCACTGAAGAGGCACATGTCCCTGTCCAAGGTATTTTTTATACCGCGAGTGCCCATCCGATGCCAGCATGGCATCCTGGCACTGGGTGCATTTCTTAAAGCCAGGTGATCCTGGCATAGTCTTTATCTATTGACTGAAACTTAAAACTTGAACTATGATGAGAATTTTTTTTTAAATAGAACTGAAACTACCAAGAAAACAACTAAGCTAACTCTAATAAACAGTAAACTGAGAAAAACCCTATTTCTAAAGCTAATCTCCTCAGACAGGAGGGGGAGCTCGTCCTAACTCCATCTGATGGTTAAAAGGAAACTGACAAGACCATTCCGCGCTAAGCTGAGCGGTGCGAGGCAGCAGTTGCGCATGCACGGTCCGGTAGGGCTACTGCTACCAAAAATCCTCCAAAAAATGCTTTGCAGTGTCGAGACGAGCCCAGCACCTCGAGCGGAGCACGCTCGGGGACACTACTCGACAAAGAAGCACAAGTGACACCTGCTATAAAGAGACAGAAACTGGATTCTGAATGAGTTTAACTGATTACTCACCTGCGTGAGTGTTGCTGATGATTTCCCCTTCCTCACAGACTTGGAGATCTGGAACCCACAGCTCTTCCCCTTGCTCCACCCAGGCAATCACATGATCTTTGGAGACTGGAAATCCTGCATGGGGAGCAATTAATAAAATGCTGATCTTGTTCATTAAGGTCTGTGCCATTACTGCTTCCAAAACTAGGATCTGAGTAGCGCACTCAGAGAAGCTCCTTCCCCACCTTGAAGAGACTGGGCTCTGGGTGGTTCAAAATTCCATGACAAACCCACCTCAGCTTATTGCCCAGGGGAGCTGAGCGCTTTGCTGCACTCTTTAGGGTACAACTCAGTCTCCTTCATAGCCTGTTACATCCCCCCAGGGCAGGTCAGGAACACACCCCTCATAAGGTGAGTTCTAGTGAAGGCTTGAACCATAGGTATAGTTCAGATTGCAACTGCCAAATGGCAGGTCACTAGGATTTGGAGACAAAGGACCTAGCAGATCTCTAGCTCCCTAATGGCTCTGTCCATAATGCTCCTGGTTGGGGGGAGGGGGGATGAGCTTGCCCCACTCATTTGCTCAAATGCTCTACTAGAGCCAGAAGGAGGCAAAAAAAGTTGCCTAAGCAGCTAAGTGAACCCTTGGCTGGCTGCTTCAGGCTCTGCCTACGCTCCTGACTCCTAATCCCGACTGCCTGTGCGGGCCCTGCCAGCTGCCCACAACAGCTGCCATTCCTGCGGCCGGTCATGGTGGTTCCGGTCTGTGCTGCTTCTCTAGTGCTTGTGGCTGTTGCTCAGTTCCCCCTCTGCAGCCTCAGTTCTACTCTGCCAGCAGCAGCCTTTGTGTGGTTTCCCCCCCCTGGCCTTCAATTTGGTGCCCTCCTTGGACTGCACAGAATTTACCCTTCACATGTTTGCATCTTGTGAGCGCATTCCTCACAGCTTTGGCCTTCCTCCTTCTTGGACCATCATTTAGTGTTTGGACAATCCCCTCATGATGATATAGAATTAAAATATGACCGTGTAGATCATTGGGCTACCACGGTTACATAACTGCAAGAAACTTGTGCAAATGTGTCGTGTGCCATGTCAATGGGAATGTTCTGATATGATGACTATGATTATCTTGTTTAATTATGTCCCATCATTTTTTAACTAGAACAAGCTGGGCCTTGCAGAATGGTAGCACTGGGTACCAACTAACCAGGCAAGCACATTCCTGAGCGATGAGGACAGTAAACACACCAATCTCTGCAGTAACTGCAAACACACAGTCTTAAGAGATGGCTCAGGAACACATCAGAAGGGATGAGGGAATAATGGATATGGATGTTTTTGTTCAAATAAACAGGCAGAAGGCTAAGGGAGGTAGCAACACATGGAATGCAGCCTGCATCTTGTTTGTGTCAATATATGAGAGAAGTCACAGGAGAGGCATGTTTATGCTGGCTGAGGGGCAGCGTTCTAGTTGCTGACTGATCTGGTACCACTGTTGGGGTGGGACAAGTCTCACTGTTCCTGTGGCTGAGGAGCTGGAACTCTAGTAAGCTGCTCCCTTCACAATAAAACCTAGCTGAGTGACTTAGCCTCTGAATGGAGCCTGGGTCTTTCTTTAGTGACGACCCTGAGCTGAGCTGCATGGGCAAGCCGCATGCCCTGCCAGTGCCACTGGCATCAGAGCTGCAGGAAGATCCCCCTTGAGCAGCTGTAACGAAACTCGGTGGCACTAGCAGCAATTCAGAGGGCACTGCAGCCACTATGGAAAGCAAAATTATCACTCCCAGCAGCACCTGGGAACTCCAGTTGTAAATCAAGATTCCACTGTGCTATCGAGGTGTTCATATGGAGCTGAGCATCACCTCTCGTAAGTGTAGGTATCCTTCCCCAGCCCTGTGAAACAAGGACACACTATAATAGCTATTGCAGAGAGAGGCAACCACACACAGAGAGTCTAAGATATTTGACCAAAGTCACATAGAAAGTCTGTGACAAGGGTAGAGAACTGAACACAGGTCTCTTGAGGTTGAAGCCAGACATTTGCATAGGAAAAAAAGATCCCTACCCAAAGATATTGTATTCTAAAAAGACAAGACAGATTATATGATTATCTCCACTGCACACAGAGGCAAGTGAGCCCCAGAGAGAATAAAGCTGGATTTTTTAAAGGAAACCAGTCCATGCCTAAAATGTAAGGAGAGCTCTACTCATATTTATCTACTACAGAGCTACCCCCCACAGAACATTTGAGGAGCATGAAGTGCCTCATCCACCCTCCCTCAGCCCCAGCACCCAGCCCCTCTCACTGGCAGGAACCAGCATGTCACAGAGATCAGCCATAGGCAAAGAAGGACTCTGGGAACTGCACTCTCCTTCCAGGGGCTCAGCCCACTGGCACAAGTGGTACCCTGCAGGCATTAACAGCAGCCAGACCCAGACCCACAACTCTGGTACCTGCCATTCCTGCCTGGGACCTTCCACTGACACCTCCAGCTAAGGCACAACATGGGCAAGATAGTGGGGAAGCACATTAAGACATTGTCTGTGAGAAGAGCAGAACTATTGTTATGTCCCTCAATCTGCTTCCTGTGGGAGGGGGCATTGAGGGGGCAGTCTCTCACACACGAGCCAGGGAGCTTGCGAACAGGAGCTGTTAACAGGGAGTTTGGAGAGGGAGTTCTCCAGATAAAGGAGGAAGCTAATACAGGACCCTTAAGGGAAGTGGTCTGTCTGCAGTGTGGTTTGTGTTTTTCTTGCTGTGTGCTGAGCTTGTGTTTGGCGGAGTTTTTTTCCCCTTCCCATGCCTTCCCTCCTCATGGAGTGTGTGCTGTGGCTGGCAGGTGGAAGCCATGAGCTTCTAATCAGGTTTTGAAATCTAGAAACCTCTGCTCATTGGTTGAGCCTTAGTCAGGGGGACGGGCTATCAGGGAGTGAGCTTGAGAACAGGGAGTTTAGAGAGGGAGTTGGGAAAGGCGGGGGGAGATACACTCACTATTCTGCAACATCTTTTCACTACACTCCTGCCCTTCAAGGAAGCATTTAATAACGACTGAGGAATCTCTCAGAAGGAAGGCAGATATAGATGGTGATAGCTCTGTTGTTGTTACCTTCACATGCTGTGCCATGTTTGTTTTCCTCTCAGAAGAAAAAAGGGATTTCATCTGCACTAAGTGCAAGCTGGGCACCATTTTGGAAGAAAAAATTAGAGGACTGGAAGCCCAAGTATCAACCCTATGTGCTATCAGAGAGGATGAAGACTTCCTCGATAGAAGGAAGCGTGTAATCCTGCAAGCACAGCAGGCTGAAGAGCCAGTCCGGGCAGTACAGGACAAGGAAGAAAACTGGCAGCATGTAACCTCTAGAAGGAGAACCTCTAGCGGCACCGAACTCAGGTATCCCCCGTTCCTGTGGAGGTAAGTAACCGTTTTCAGGCTCTCCCCATAGGCACGAAGGTGGAGAATGCTTTGGCAGGAACTTCTCAGGAAAGAAATCAGAAGGGAACACCATCTACCGGAAGGCATGGGATGCGTAGTCCTAGGGATGGGGGTTACACAACCCCCAGAAGATGGGTGGTGGTGGTCAGGGACTCCCTCTTAAGAGGGACTGAGTCATCCATCTGCCACCCAGAACTGCTATCTCAAGAAGTGTGCTACTTACTGGGAGCTTGCACTCAGGATGTGATGGAGAGTCTTCAGAGAGTGATTAAACCTTCGGATCGCTACCCTTTCCTGCTTCTCCATGTTGGAACTAATGATACGGTCAAGACTGGGTCATAGCAGATTATGTAGCACTGGGAAGAAGGATCAAGGAATTTGAAGCACAAGTGATATTCTCGTCCATTCTTCCGGTTCAAGGAAAAGGTCCGAGTAGAGATTGTTGAACTGAGGAAGGAAATGCGTGGTTGTGTAGGTGGTGTCGCAGAGAGGGATTCGGTTTCTTCGAACATGGGACTCTGTTCCGGGCACAAGGATTATTAGGAAGAGATGGGATCCACCTTGTAGACATACCCCACGAGAGAAAAGAGCATCTTCATGAGCAGGCTTGCAAACCTAGTGAGAAGGGCTTTAAACCAGGTTCGCTGGTAAGTGAGGAAGTCAGACGCTGGGAAGAATCACAAGGAGGAAAAGCAACAAAGGAGGACCCCTGGTTCGGATGGAAAAGGCAGGGCAATCAATTAGTTTATCTAAGGTGTTTGGACACCAATGCGAGAAGCCTGGGAAACAAACAGGAAGAATTAGAAGCCCTGGCCCAGTCGAAGAACTATGATTTGAATGGAATAACGGAGACATGATGGGATGACTCGCATGACTGGAGCACTGTCATGGAACGGAATAAACTGTTCAGGAAGAACAGGCGGGGGAGAAAAGGAGGAGGAGTTGCATTGTATGTAAGAGAGCAGTATGATTGCTTGGAGCACTAGTACTTAAGAGGGAGAAAAGACTGTTGAGAGTCTATGGGTTAAATTTAGAGGTGGAAGCACCAGGGGTGATGTTGTGGTTGGTGTCTGCTATAGACCCTCGGATCAGGTGGATGAGGTACACGAAGCTTTCTTTGGACAACTGAGAGAAGATTACAGATAGTAGGCCCTGGTTCTCGCGGGCAACTTTAATTACCCTGACATCTGTTGGGAGACCAATATGTCAGTACACAGACAATCCAGGAAGTTTTTGGAGAATGTTGGGGATAATTTATTGGTACAAGTGCTGAAGAAACCGACCAGGGGCCATGCACAGCTTTATCTGCTGCTCACAAATGGAGGAACTACTGGGGGAAGTAGAGGTGGGTGGCAAGCTGGGAAGCAGTGATCATGAGATGGTAGATTTCAGGATCCTGACAAGAGGAAGAAAGGAAAGTAGTAAAATACACACCCTGGACTTCAGAAGAGCAGGCTTTGACTCCCTCACAGAACTGATGGGCAGGATTCCCTGAAATGCAAACATGAAGGGGAAAGGAGTCCAGAAGAGCTGGTAGTATTTTAAAGAAGCCTGATTAAAGACACAGGAAAAAATCATCCCGATGTGCAGCAAGAAAAGCAAATATGTTAGGCGACCAGACTGGCATACCAGGGACGTCTTTGGTGAGCTTAAACACAAAAAAGAAGCTTACAAGAAGTGGAAACTTGGACAGATGACTAGGGAAGAATATAAATATATGGCTCAAGAATGCAGGGGAGTTATCGGAATTGCAGCTGGCAAGGAATGTGATGGGGAACAAGAAAGGTTTCTACAGGCATATTAGCAATAAAAGGGTGATCAGAGAGAGTGTGGGGCCCTTACTGGATGAAGGAGGTAATCTAGTGACAGATGATGTGGGAAAAGCTGAAGTACTCAATGCTCAGCTCCCAGACAAATGCACTAGGCAACACAGTATGGGAAGAAGGTGGACGGCCCTTGGTGGGGAAAGAACAAGTTAGGAACTATTTAGAAAAGCTAAATATACACAAATCCATGGGCCTGGATTTAATGCATCCAAGGGTACTGAGGGAGTTGGTATATGTCATTGTGGAGCCTTTGGCCATTATCTTTGAAAACGTATGGAGATCGAGAGAGATCCTGGATGGCTGGAAAAAGGCAAATGTTGTACCCATCTTTTAAAAGGGGAAGAAGGACAATCCAGAGAACTACAGACTGTTGATCTTCACCTCAGTCCCTAAAAAATCATGGAGGGTATCCTCAAGGAATCCATTTTGAAGCACTTGGAAGAGGGGAAAGTGATCAGGAATAGTCAGTATGGATTCACCAAGGGCAAGTCATGCCTGACCAATCTGATTGGCTCTGTGGACATGGGGAAGTTGGTGGATGTAATATACCTTGACTCCCAGAATATTCGTGCCTGCAAGTTAAGGAAGTCTGAATTGGTTAAATGGACTGTAAGGGGATAGAAAGCTGGCTAGATTGTCGGGCTCAACTGGTAGTGATTGGGCCCAATAAGTAGTGATCAACGGCTCGATGTCAGGTTGGCGGTCAGTTTCTAGCGGAATGCCCCAAAGATTGGTTCTGGGACCGTTTGTTCAACATCTTTATTAATGGCCTGGATAAGGGGACGAATTGTACCCTCAGCAAGTCTGCAGATGATACTAAGCTAGGGGGAGAGGTAGATACGCTGGAGGGCAGGGATAGGGTCCAAAGTGACCTGGACAGATTAGAGGATTGAGCCAAAAGAAATGTGATGAGGTTCAACAAGGACAAGTGTAGAGTCCTACACTTGGGATGGAAGAGTCCCAAGCCTTGTTATAGGCTGGGGACCAACTGGCTAAGTAGCAGTTCTGCAGAAAAGGACCTGGGGATTACAGTGAATGAGAAGCTGAATATGAGTCAACAATGTGCCTTGTAGCCAAGAAGGCTAATGGCATATTAGGGTGCATTAGGAGGAGCATTGCTAGGAGATTCAGATAAGTGATTATTCCCCTTTATTCAGCTCTGGTGAGGCCACATCTAAGTTCTGGGCCGCCAACTATAAAAAGGATGTGGACACATTGGAACGGGTTCAGTATAAGGAGACTGAGGGATTTGGGTTTGTTTAGCCTGCAGAAGAGAAGAGTGAAGGGGGACTTGATAGCAGCCTTCAACTTCCTGAAGGGAAGTTCCAAAGAGGATGGAGACAGGGACGGATGGCAGAACAAGGAGCAATGGTCTCAAGTTACAGTGAGGGAGGTCTAGGTTGGATATTAGGAAAAATTATTTCACGAGGAGGGTGATGAAGCACTTGAATTGGTTACCTAGGGAGGTGGTGGAAACTCCTATCCCTAGAGGTTTTTAAGCCTCGGCTTGACAAAGCCCTGGCTGAGTTGATTTAGTTGGGATTGGTCCTGCCTTGGGCAGGGGGCTGGACTTGATGACCTTCTGAGGTCCCTTCCAGCTCTATGATTCTATGATTTTTGGGATGGATACTCCTGACATTGGGAGGCAGGGGGCAATAATGGACCCTGAACCAAGCCCAACCCAGCTGCTCCAGAGCCCACCCAGGTTCTGATACCCCCGGGGACAGGAATCCTTACCCAGCCAGCTCACAGCCTCATAATTCTCCTGCATCACATCCCAGTAGAGTGCTCTCTGACCCGGTCCAGCAGAGCCCATTCCTCCTCAGAGAAATACACAGCTACCTCCTTGAAGGTCACTGGCTCCACCACAGCCATTTCCTTTCTATGGCTCTTCAGGCCATGGGCTGAGCTGAAGCAAGACATGGGTGTTCTGAAGTCTGTCAGGAGAAGAAGGGCAATTGGAAACATTTTGCAAGGGGCTTTAATCCTTTCTACACACCCCATTCCGCCAAGATTTCATTCCTGTTGAAATCCATGCTATATTCTAGGTCAGGGGTCGGCAACTTTTCCGAACTGGTGCGCCAAGATTTGACTTATTCATGGATCTGTGTTCCGGGGAAAAGTGGGGGATGGGTGCAGGCTGGGTACGGTGAATATATTTTCTGAATCAGCTGCATGTAGGGAGAACGGTTTAATTTAAGTTATTAAACAGATTAAGTGTTTTAACTTTCTCATGTTAATTTATCAAACTACATTTTAAATAAAGTAAAATATTATGTTCAACACAAAAGGTTTCAATGTTTTATGGCAGGTGTGGGGAACCTAATTGGGTCAGAGTTACTGACCCACAGAAAAATCAGCTGGGGACCACACAAGTGAGGAGAAAAACACTCCTCCAAAAACCCCCAACCCTCAATGATTTTGCCCGCAGCTGAGACACCTAACCCTTCTAGCATTCCATCTCCCCTCCTCCAACATCTTCCATCTGTTCTAGCCTTGTTCCCCTCAGCCCCATGATTCCCCTCCCTGTAGCCTGATCCCCCAGCATCACCCCATCCTCCCTCAGTACAATCCTTCCCCTTTCCATCCTGCTCCTGCATTCTCCTTCACCTCCCTTCTGCCCCCCACATCCCTGTTTTCCTCAGTGCACTCACAGGCATAGCAGCAGCACTGGGACTTGCAGCCCTGGGGAGCAGCACTGGGGCAAGGAGGGGCTGGGAAAGGGGATGGGGGACAGTCACTTCCCAGTCCAGCCTAGCCCTTTACCCAGGGTTCACCCCTAACTTGTAAGCTGCGGCTCCAGGTGCAGCAGGGCTCTGGGAAAGGGGCTCCCTGCCCCCACTCCTGAGCTCACGGGGAGCAGCAGCGTGCAACCTGGGCCCCGGCTCAACATGTGTGACTGACCACCCAGCCCTGATCTGCCCAAATATATGTGTATGCCCACATCTTGAATACTGTGTACAGATGTGGTCTCCTCACCTCAAAAAAGATATTTTGGCCTTGGAAAGGGTTCAGAAAAGGGCAACTAAAATGATTAGGGGTTTGGAACGGGTCCCATATGAGGAGAGGTTAAAGCGACTGGGACTTTTCAGTTTAGAAAAGAGAAGACTGAAGGGGGATATGATAGAGGTCTATAAAATCATGAGTGGTGTGGAAAGGGCTGATAAATAAAAGTTATTTATTAGTTCCCTAAATAGAAGAACTAGAGGACACCAAATGAAATTAATGGGTAGCAGGTTTAAAACTAATAAAAGAAAGTTCTTCTTCACACAGCATGTAGTCAACCTGTGGAACTCCTTGCCAGAGGAGGCTGTGAAGGCTAGGACTATAATAGAGTTTAAAGAGAAGCTAGATAATTTCATGGAGATTAGGTCCATAAAAGACTATTAGCCAGGGGATAAAATGGTGTCCTTGGCCTCTGTCTGTCAGAGGCTGGAGAGGGATGGCAGGAGACAAATCGCTTGATCATTGTCTTCGGTCAACCCTCTCTGGGGCACCTGGTGCTGGCCACTGTCGGTAGACAGGATACTGGGCTAGATGGACCTTTGGTCTGACCCAGTACGGCCGTTCTTATGTTCTTATGCCCTGCCCCCTCCTGAAGCAGGAGGTAGATCCTGTAGTGGGAGAAAGAGGGGTTTACCCCTTTAGATCCAGGGTGGGCAAAAGGGCCTCCACGGGCTGGATCCGGCCTGGCAAGCGGGTGGATCCGGCCCATGGAGGCCCTGCTGCTCTGCTGCCCCACGGCCAGTTAGAGTCTTGGGGCGAGAGAGTGTGCGAAGCCTCCTCCCATCCTGCCAGAAGCATGTGGCGCTTTGAAGTGCCATGCGCTGCTTGCAGGATGGAAGCAGAGCAGAGAAGGCTTTGCGCGCTCCCCCACCCCCAGGCCAATAAGGGCCTGGGGGTGAGGGAGCTGTGTGAAGCTTCTTTTGCTTTGCTCCAGCCCTGCGAGGAGCCCGTGGCACTTCAAAGTGTCACATGCTCCTCACAGGGCGGGTGGAGGCTTCCCACATTCTCCCATCCCCAGGCCTTTTCCAGGGCATGGGTGGCTAGTGGGAAGGGGGGGCAAAGGGGCTCCCCCACCCCTAGACCACTCATGGTCTGGGGGTGGGGCCCTTCCCATTTAGACCCCACCCCTTCCTGGGTGGCCCTGGGCTACTTCAAAAATTTTTGAAGTGGCTCCTGGGCAAAAATTATTGCCCACCTGTCTTAGATTCCGGAAGCTGCTTGGCGAGGCCAGGCAGGGGCATCCCCAAGGACGCATGTGTGCCTCTCCTGCCCACCTGCCTTCCACCAAGGAGTCAGAGCTGGTGCTCCAGTCTGCAGCTGCACGGCTGAGGCTCAAGTCACAGTACAGGCTTGGGAATGGCTGAGCTTTCGCGTGCCACAAAAAATTGGCTCACATGTCGCTTATGGCATGCATGTCACATGCTGCCAACCTCTGGATATTCCATTAACAGCACAGACAAGTAAGATCTCAAATCCATATTCATTTCTCTCAATACTTGGCTTGAGTTTCAACATTACTGTGCCTGCAACAATGGGATTTGGTTCTGAGCACCCAATGTTTCTGATAAACAAGCCTCATGTTCACCTGTCTGAATATGGATGCAGATGTTTAAGTTTAGGCTGCTGTATTTAAAGCCCCTCGTCCAGTGGTCCCCAACCTTTTGGGGCTGCCGGGCACCTGGGGGCGGGGCAGTGCGCGCGCTGGGCGCCCAGGGCGCAAGAATGGCTCGGGCCAGCCCTGGTCACTAGGTGGGTGCACATAAATGCCCCGGCAGGCGCCATGGCACCTGCGGGCACCACGTTGGGGACCACTGCCCTAGTCTTCCTCCATTTATTTGCAGCACAGACTTAGACCCTCTCATCAAGACTAAACCAACAGAGATTAAATGAAGTCAAGGAGACCATTCAGATATTTAATATTAAACACGTGCTGAATGTTTACAGGATGAGTTCCTAAGAATCAGAGATTCACAGCATCAGGTGAGATCATTATTTCATGTACTCTGGTCTCATCAGGGTCACAAGCCACTGTATTTAATCTTGTTACCCCAGGACAAACATATTCCCTAAAGCATATTTTCCAGAAAGTCGTCAAGCTTTGCTTTAAAAACCTCAAGAGATGGAGAATCCACCAGTTCTTCATTCATTTGATCACAATTAATCATCCTCCTTAACATACATTTGTGCTTCCTTTCTAGTCTGTATTTGTCTGGCTTCGGCTTCCAGTGATTGGTTTTCACTGAGCTGCATCTACTAGACTGAGGAGCTCCTGGGATGCAGCAATTTCTCTCAATGAACAGACTTCTATATTGGAAGTCAGTCAGCTTTCAGCCTATTTAAAAAAACAATATATTTAAACTGAACAGAGTAAACATTGAAATGGCTCAGATTTAAGGTGCTGTAACTTGTGCTCTGTAACTACACAACTTTAGCATCATACCACAGAGACAAACCCTTCATAATGTGCTAATGGGAAATGGAGTAAAAACCTACGTTAATTCCTTTAGTCTGAAATGTTTTAACTGCCTTTCCATAATAGCTACACATATGGGGGGCTGCAGACATTCAGAGGCAAATGCCCATGATAGCAAAATAGTATCATTAGCTTTACAATCAGTATCAGAGCTCTCATACTATTAATATTTAACTTCGCATCTGAGTCAGTATAGAAATTGTAAACAAACTCCAAAATAATTGTATCACCGGATTAGAGTGAGACAGCTGAATTTGTAGAAGGGTGGCTACTTTTAAATCTATGATTGAATATGCAAGGAGTTACCACACACAAATCTATTAGAGAATGTTTTAACCTTCCTGAAACAAAATACAGGACTATGTAGCACTTTAAAGACTAACAAGATGGTTTATTAGATGATGAGCTTTCGTGGGCCAGACCCACTTCCTCAGATCAAATAGATTAAACCATCTTGTTAGTCTTTAAAGTGCTACATAGTCCTGTATTTTGTTTCAGGAAGGTTAAAACATTCTCTAATAGATTTGTGTGTGTCCTGGATATTCAATAATGGATTTTAAAGTAGCCATTCTTCTACAATCCCGAAGTGGAACACATTTGCAAACTCCTTTTAAGCTCTAAGCCAAGGGTGGGGAACCTCAGGCCTGGGGGCCAGATGCGGTGGCCCCCAGCTTGCCTGGATCCGCCCCCCCCTCCGAGTCTCAGGGCTCCTCCGAATATTAGGAAGCCCACAATGGTGCTTTAGCCCCCTGTGAGGCTGGAGCACACAAAATCTACCAGCCTGGACCCCTCAAGGCTCTGCTGTGTGAAGAGAATGTGACAGGTGTCTTTTTACTTCTCAGTTGGGGGCCACATCAGTTGTTTTGCTTGTCTTTTGCTTCTCATTTCCCAACTGATTCTTCTGTAGGTCAGCAGCCCCCAACCCAAAAAGGTTTCCCACTTCTGCTGTTAGCATACACAGAAACCCATTAGGGACTCTTTTAGACCCCAAGACTAGGTCTGACCATTACAGCATTTGGAAGGGACTGTATCACTGCTTCGAATCCCATTTAGCAGGCAAATCCATCTTATCAGGCAGAGAAGAGCTTCCTTGTCCAGTCCTTGGGGGATACTGTGCCATTTTCATCACAGTTCTAGGAAGTGGCTCTGAAATGCCCCATCCTGGAACTGGGAAACAATACATTTGCTCCCACACACAATTTTTGCAAGCACTGTAGAGGGTTCCCTACCCCCTCCACAATTATTTCCATCTCCTGTACTCCTTTCCTATCATGGGGTTTCCCCTTGCCACTGGCTGGCAGGGCCTAGGTCCTGTTCTAAACTCCACTACCTTCCCTGATTTTGTACCTTGGTCCTTCTCCTGGCCCTGTTGCCAGCTGTGTGATGCACTAATGTGGCCAGTTTTGCCCTGAACAGACCCTCTCCATCCCTACCTCCAGTGGTTGCCCAGCTGCTCCCCGGGCAAGGCCACATGACAAGCAGATGCCCCATGTGCCGGAGTGGGAGCCAAGGCTATGGTGCAGCTATCCCTACTGGGAAGCAACACTGTGGCTCTGGCTCCAGTTCCAGCAACTGCCACACAACCCATCCTGGCTGCAGTTCTAGATACAAAGGGGTTAGATTAAATTCTTGCTGAAGACACTACTCTATTTTCAGTCTGACATTATTTCACCCCCTCTTCCACAAGACACATAGGATTGGGTTTTTTTTTTGTCTATGTACATATGTA